CTGCTTTCCCACCCCAGCCACTTTGGACCTAGAGCAGTTCTGAAAAAATGGTTGCCAGGTTTGTGTTTTTTGTATTTTAATAATGGGGAAAGTGTATTTTCCCCCCTCCTTGTCCTCTTCACTCTCATAAATGCTCAGCAACTTTTGTTCATTTTTTTTAAAATAGCCCTGAGGAAGATTACAAGTCGGGGAAATTTCAGCCCAAAAGATGAAAGCATCAAGAGTTCTGAGCAAATTAAAACAAGGAGTAGAATATATTTAAATAGTGGGGAGCTACCAAAACCAATTATGTTGTTCAGTAGCAGTGCCCTCAAACCTATTACCTTGGGCTATGCTCTTGTTAAATCCAAAAAGTTAAGTAGGGTAGTGTCTGGTTGGTTCTTGGACGGATGTCACCTGCCAAGGTGCTGCCATGTGGTACTGCCAATTCAGTTGGGCAGTAAGGGCTTTTTCTTATGAGTACATTGCCCCAGGATGGTGACCCTCTCAGAGACAGAATTACTAACTCCCCAGAAATAAAATCATATGTTCTAGCTCAACTCCAGCTATGGGCTTGAAACAGGAATTATTGGGTAAAGTTCTCTGGCCTGTGTTTCATGCGAGAGGTCAGAGTAGATTACCATAATGGTCCCTTCTGGCCATAAAATCAATGATCTAAGAGAAAACCTAGAATTTTTTACTTTCACCACCACTTTTTATTTAATGAATTATCAGGAATAAATCCTTGTAACATGACCCTAATGATTATATAATTGGAACCAAGAAATTTCTTTTGTCAAATAATTTATTCATCCTCCCCCCCCCCCCAAAATACAGCTTTGGATAGAATTTGTCAAATAGTTTTGGCAAAAGAAAAGAAAAGAAAAATTAAGTCACAATGTTTAATTTTTACATTTACTAAATGAAACATTTTGATTTTTGTTTCAAAATGGGGTTCTGTTAAAAATAGCAAGATTTAATTACCAAAAAAAGGTAAAAAACACTCAAAAATGAAATGAAACACTTTGTTCGGTGTGAAATGAATTTTTCCTTAGACTGAAAAATCAATTATTCACCCAACCCTCTCTCTATCATTATCTTGCTATATAATTTCTATTGGACAAGCTAATGTCTCAGAATAAGGATAAGTATTATTTGCCTGTTGCTTAGGCAATGTTTTTAGTGCGGATTATGGGTTAATCTCTTTGAACAAACAATAAAATCTAGGACTGATTCTGTCTCCCGACCTAAATCTCATACACTTCTTTGTTTAGTTCCCCTGCGTGACCAGCCAATCATAGGTTAAGTTTATAGCAACCATGCACGCAAACAACAAGTGTCATTCACATCTGATAAGGGAGGATGGCTCTTGGCTCTTTGCCCTAAAGACAAGAGGGTAAATGCTGCTCTCCGTTACATGGTGTAAATCAGGAGGGACTCCACTGACTGCAATGGGATTACTTTGGATTTGCACCACTGATTCTGAGTAGAATTTGGCCCAGGAATTTAGGAATTCTAAAATAGCAAATTGGGGTATTATAAACACCTGCCATTTGTCACACAGTTCTCACGTTCCCATGTGTAGGTTTTGCAGAGTTTTGTGCATCGCCTCGGCTAGACTTCTGCAAACCCCATAGCACATTCTGGAAGGGAGGAAAGCAGACTGTATGCTACGAGAGGGAGAGAGGGGTTAAGGAGCTTGTCTATTGTCAGGTTATGAGGCTGTAGGGGGATTGGATTAGGGAGCCTGTCACGGAGGGATCAGGTTGGGTTTTAGCAGCTGGCAGGCAGGATTGGTTCAACCTGCTTCTCGTAGGGGTGGATGAGTTGGCAGGGGTGCCCGGGCTGCTTGCATTAATTGAGGGTCCATGGCGAACCCGTTGGTGGGGAATTCTGAAGGAGTTCTGCAACGTATGAACTTGCTGCACCCTTCAGTCCTTCAGAGTTTTAAAGAGGCACCACTCTATGGGGGAGATTAAAATATTAGATATTGCAATAAATTGGCCAAGTGTACATATATTTACATAGGTATGCCACTGCCCTCTAATGGATGGAAACAGAACTGTTGAGCTGTGTGTCACAGGCCCTATATTCCTAACAGCTAATGGGGATTCTCCGGGGGCTACTTAGACCTCTGCTGGTGTCACACAGTTCTAAGTGGTTGCTGCAGAATTTAAAGAGATTGAGGAGTCAGCCATGCTCATGGAAGTACTCAAGGGTAAGTCTAGATAGTCCCATCTCAGGCACATCCTGTTGGAATGTAGCGGGCTAGACTTGATAGCCCCTCCCAGTCTCAAAGATTCTGGAATTCTGTGCCAGAACATGATGACTCACAGAGGACAGAATATTGGCCACAGGCCTGGGATGATCAAGACAATTCCTCCTACTTCCCTGACCATCTTTCATCAAACAACGTGCCTCCAGCCAACATCTCCCCAGCTAACACAGTGCAGGCTGAGAGTAGATCATCAGCGGCTACCACAGAGCAGTGAGTGCACTTAAAACAAAATCCAGGGCTAGTGCCAAAAAGGAAAGGGGGACAGGAGCTTTATAAACATAAATAGCTGAACTTTTCTGAGGGGGTGAGTTTACCTGGATTCAACAGAAGTGTCCATGTACTGTATGCTATTTCTAGGGTGCTAATCACTGTAATATCTGAGCACCATGTATGTGTGCTCATGATGATTTACTTTTGCCTGGGCTATCTATGGAGTGATTAATGAATCCCTATCCAACGAAGATCAGCCTGTGACCTCACTCTAGTTACAGCCTGTTAAACCCAGGGTTGTGAGTTCAATCCTTGAGGGGGCCATTTAGGGATATGGGGCAAATATCTACCAGCAGAGTGGCGCAGCAGAAGCGTGCTGGGCCCATAACCCAGAGGTTGATGGATCGAAACCATCCTCTGCTAGGCATGTGCTTGTTTCTTTGGGGGGAGGGATAGCTCAGTGGTTTGAGCATTGGCCTGCTAAACCCAGGGTTGTGAGTTCAATCCTTGAGGGGGCCATTTAGGGATCTGGGGCAAAATCAGTACTTGGTCCTGCTAGTGAAGGCAGGGGGCTGGACTTGATGACCTTTCAAGGTCCCTTCCAGTTCTAGGAGATAGGATATCTCCATTAATAATAATAGCCAGCCAGAGCTCTCTGTGCATTAGCAATGGGTAAAGCTCAAAAGGTTTCATCAAAGCCCTGGGGTAAAATTCTGCCCTTACTGAAGTCAATGGCAAAACTCCCACTGATTTCAGTAGGGCCAGGATTTCACTCCTGTTGTTTTTACTCAACTATCTGAAGTTCTAAAGTCTGCAAAACAGGGCAGGAATTCTCATAAGCAGCAGCTTCCTTGAGGAATTTCCAGTATTTACCTGCTCTGCATTGGGTTGAAAATACTCTACGAACAGACCTTTCCCTGGAATATCAACAATCCAGCTTCTGCTCCCTGCACCGACCAAGAAGAGTAGAGGTGCATGGAAATAATTGCTTTCCCTTTAAAGTTAGCCAGCTTTTCCTCAAGCCTCAGCAAGGTTCAGTTTAGGTGACACGAGGGCAGTGGTGCAAGGTTGGGGTTGTTTGACTGTTCCAGTTTACCTGTCCCTGATATTCTTCCACCACTCCAACGATGGTGGGAAAATATTAAATATGTAAATAACAAGAATAAGAATTTAAAAGCTTGAACTTTTGTAGCACCTTCCACCTGAGTATCTTATAGTGCTTTATGAACATCAGTCAATTTAGCCTCCCAACCCTTCCCTGAGAGTTAGGGAAATATCATCCCTATTTGATAGGTGACAAGACTGTGGCTGTATTCCTGAGTTGGATAATGACTGCTCTGTGCCTCAGTTTACCTCTTCACAAAATGAGGCTCATGCTATCGCCCCACCTCACAAGACTGTGGTGAGGCTTAACTCATTTTGGTCAGACTGTGCTGAGACCCTTGAGTGGTACAAAAGTATATCTTATATTTACAGAATGCCTTTGACACCACAGGCCTTTTACAAACTTATACAGGCATAGGGGTACCTTTTCCACTACTGAAATGTAGCATCCAGCCACAGTGCAGAGAAGCACAGGCAGTCAAGTATACTGTGTATACAGTAACTAGCAGTGGGATGTAGGCAGACTATATTCACCAGTGCTGGAACCTGGCAAGCACACCAGCGTTAACACTAAACCTTTTCATGCCCAAACCATCCTGGGATCTTTAATGACCACAAATGTTTCAAACAGTTCCCTGGTTTTACACCTCATGTGAAAGACAGCACCTCCGTCAGCCCCTTGCACAACATACTTAAATCAGAGCTATTTCTTTTCCCCAGTGATTTCTTGTTTCCACTTTGAAGCCATCATACCCGGCCATGGAAAGCAAAAGCTTGTTACCCTAGGCCTAAGAGAAGAATTATGGTAAATTCACACGTCATAACAAGAGAAGCTCCCCCAGGGAGGCATGGTGGAATGAATAACTCCGTTCTGAGGAGATCAGAGGCAGCTCCATACAGATGGCAGCTCATACCAACTGCTGCAGCATTGGGGTTACTTTGTGGTCATTTTCTGTGCCATGTCTACTCCCTGCTGTGTCTACTTGCCTAGCTGGGTTGCCATGGATCAACATAGGGGATGATATTGTAAGATCAGAACTACACATAGCAAACACCTCCCACCTGCACTACAGCAGAGTCTGATGAAATGGCCAAATAACTGAAACCCACAGCTAATGCACCCAGCTAGCAAACAGTTCGATCCCCTTCTCCTTTCCTAACCCAGTTGCAATGGTCTCCTTCTCTGCATAAATCCAAATCTAACATTTCCAGGACCTGCATGCCGATGAGTCCTTTCCGGCTCTCGTCTGAACCTGCATGTTGGAACAAAACATTATGCTAATGATCTCCAAGGACCTGGGATTCCGGTTGCTTAGGAACAAAAGTTTCACAGGCTGTGGAAGGAGAGTTGAATAGGGTGACACTGTAGCTGGGTAAGTCCTTCGAACACAACCCCCCCCCCCCCCCCCACACACAAACAATGATTTCTCGAAAGGTTGCCGTTTAAAAAAAAGGAAGTCGGACTTTAGAATTTGCAGGCCTGCGAAAAGCAAATCTGCCCAGGCTTCCCCTGCACACTGGGGTTTTATTTACAAACCAGGAGAAGGACTAATTCACTATTCAGAGAAGACTAGATAGAAGACAACTGCACACTGACAGAGCATGGAAGCTCATTCTGCTAAACAGACAAAGCAGGCAGCTTGCGATGTGTACGCATCTGGCGTAGATGCTTCCTAGGTGCCAGCCGGTAAGATCTCATACAGCTCTATATAGCACCGTTGCAATTCCAGAGACTTGTTTAGATGAAATATTCTTTACTTTTTTCTGGGGGGAGGGGGGGCTGTCAGTGTTTGTGCTGCAGGTTAACAGGGTTGTTCTGAAGCAGTGTGGAAAATTAAGGGAATTTAAAGGGAGCTGCAGTTCCTGCTTGCTAACAGGATCCATTTAATCTAAGCCAGTCCTTGTTAGCAGAAACCGTGTTTAAGAGAGTCAGTGAATTAATCTCTCCTTCATATTAAGTTGTAGCCGACAACAAGAAACAGTAAGCAGGAAAATGAATCCTACTATGATTTGCAGTACCTGCCAGCTAGGGCGCGAAGGGCATAATGCAAAACACAAACGGCACCTGGTTTGGCTTTTGATCGTGTATCAATCTCAGGTCAGTCTATAGGCCCAGTCACTGTAGTGTCTAGGCACAAAGCAAACAAAAGGTAGCTCTGAGCCACCAGATTTCTAGAGAATGGGTAGCTCAGTAGCTGATCTCTTGTATTTGGCAAGTCTAAGTTACAGCACACGAAAGGGAAAGATTTACCCATGGGCTCCGTACCTGTATAGCTATTATTTACGTAGGGTCAGCCATGTGATCCAGTTATGGATATGTCGCCTGCCCCAAGGAGATGAACTAAAATCAGCACAGGAAGGGGGATGGGAAGAGACCAAAGAAGATGGAAAGGAAGGAGTCCTTAAAGGCCTTGAAAGATATGTACAGCTGAGTGAGCCTAAGCAGGGTCAAGTGGTAGCTAAGGTCAAAGGCGGCGCGAGGGGCAGGGAGCAGAAATGCACCCACGGGATTTGTGGGAGATGAAGGAGTCTTGGTGTAGAGGAGGAGTTACTGCCGCAGCCAGAGAAAGCGCATTTATTGAGCGAGCTCCAGGGACCAAGTCAGCACTGGGCTCAGGGAGCCTGATGTGGGAGGAGACTCTTAAGTGGGGAGACCTCTACGAAGTACTGTGCGGGAGGTGACTGGGCAGAGGGGCTGATCCCCTGAGTGTTTTGCTGAGAAAGGGGAGACTGGGGACGGGGCAGCACAGAGAGCGTCAGGACCAAGAGAGGATCTGCATTCTCCTGGTGGCTGGGGACGGTTCAGCTCCCACTCACCCATCAGAGGGGTCTAAGCAGCTATGTCATATACCTGGCCCTGCACAGGTGTGTAGGGGCTGGGAAGGAACAAGGAGTCCCATTACACACCCTTCCTGGGAGCCAATCAATCAGAATCATAGTCCCAATGCTTCAGCGAGCATAAGGTCTTTTCCCTTCCTGCACCACCCCAAAGGAGGCAGAGCCAAGGTTCTTACCTAAACAGACTTTTTGCATTGGGTGCATCCTGCGCACCATCGTTCTGCATGCAACAACAGGTAGATAGGTTTGACAACCCGGAAGCACAACCCCTCTAGGCAGCACAGCTCCGCACCATCTGCCACTCAGCCCTGTGCCTTAAAGGCCCAATCTAGCCAGGGAGTGTGGATAAAAGGGGGTTTATGCTCAGGAGCTTCGTTGGCAAGTCAGCACCTCCAGCAGTGCTGCCTAGGCCCAGGTTCCACATTAACTCAGAGGGAGAACACAAAGGATGATCAAAGAAAGAAAGTTTGCTAAAAGAAAGTTCCGTTGTGCTCCCGATTCTTTGTTCAGGTGGCAGGGCATGAGTCTCCAGCCTGAACTCTCCAGCTCCTCCCCGGGAGTGTAATTGTGATATCGAATATTTATAATTAACAGCCACCGCAGGCTGTCCCCTGCCATTCCTGAATTTTTAATGTCAATAGCTAAGGAGTTGGAGCCCTTTTATTCAGCTCGAACCAGACCCAGACGTGGCTAAACAAGCTCCCATTATCTCCAACCGCAGACCTGTGAAAGGCTGCTAATTAGTTTACCATCGTGCGGAGAGGAAAGCTTTCCATCCCATTTGGGCTGCCTCCTCACCCCAGAACTTCGGAAGAGCTCTAATGCTCAGCCTTGTCGGCGGGCTCGGAAATCACAGTTGTTATAAGTATGAAACCCAGCCATTACGTTACTACAAAGGAAACATCTCTCAGAGATTCCAGATGCTCCCTGGAGCTAGATCCTGTGATGGGGATGCATGCAGGGGGAGGAGGGGGCATATTGCCTTTTGATTGAAGCAATGATGGGCCATATTTTTTAAGATGCCTAAAGATGCAGATAGGCACCTAAATACCTTTACAAATCTGAACCCGAGTACTACCCACGTTAACCCAGTGTGTGTCTTTGTCCCCCTCCGAATCACACAATGAGGTTTATGAGTCAGTTGCTGCCTTCCAGCAAATGCAGCTGGTTCTTTATCTTGAGCAAGAGAGGCTTATGCATCCAGCCCCAAAAGGTCACAAATTCAATCCCTACAAATGACCCAGCCAAGGGCATCGATGCACAGGCATCCAGAAGGGTTAAACTGGATTCATTATTCAAGTAACAGCCCCAGCCACCTTGCTTTCCTCACTCTAGTTCCCTCTACTGTTCCCAAGTATGGATAGCACCCACTAACTCCTGCTCTAGTCAACCAGCATTAATGACAAGGGGCGGGGGTACAGAGAGCCTCTTCGCCTGGGTGGGACTGGAACCTGGAGTCCAAGAGAACACTAGCACAGAACTCTGCAGCAGAGTCCACAGGCTGTGCCTGAGGGGGGTGGCTAGCTGCCCAGCGCGGATGCATCTTTCATTGCAGTCTAAGATGGGCCCTGCCACACACAGCGCTGATTGAACCCGTCTTGTGCTAGCAGGAGGCTCGGAGATCTCCCATGTGGCTGGCACTGCTCCCCCTGCACAGTCAGGAGAGGATTTTGCCCTAATTCCTTACAGGAATTGGGTTTGGCTGTTAAAATCTCTTATTGTCAGGAGCAGCATTCAGACTGAATTAGTCTGGGGGCCAGACCCTGCCCGTAGCAATGCCTATGTAACATCACAGATGTCAGCAAACAGCTGTCACTGAGGGCAGCATCAGCCTCTCTCCATCCTCTCTTTTGGGCACCCTCCAGCTACTTCCATGATGGTGCAACAGAGCGATGCCTCCAGGGCAGCTCCACAAAACTCTCCTCTGCTCAGACAGCCAGCCAATTTCCTAGTATGAGGGGGCAGCAGTGTAAGACCCTTCGCCACCACAGTGCAATAAGGACACAGGCCTGTCTTATTGGAAATCAAAATGGGAATGGAGGCCCAGCCCTAGAGGGGCAGGTTCGTCCTTGGCTGACTTGCTAATACCCTACTGCACAGCCATAGTGAGGGCTTTGCCATGGGGGTTGGGGAAGGATACCATAGCGACAGCACTGACATCCTACACAGGATCCTGGGTGACCCCTTCTCCACAGCCCCTAAGGATCAGCTGGGTTGGGAAGCCACACTGCCTGCCTTCTTTGGGGCCCTGGAAGCCCTCACCCTTGAGGGGATAATTTGAGGGAAACTTGAAAGGTTAACTTGAAAGTCCCCCTCCTAGAGCATCCAGGGTCCTGGTACCTCCCCCTCCTAGCCTCTCCCCAGGACAGTGCAGCTTGGGCCGAGCTTGGACTCTGAGGTGTTATGAGTAACACAGGGAAGGATGAGGCCAAAATTCATCCCCTACAGTCAGTGGAGTGTCACTAGGGATGAACATGGCTCACTGTGGTTATCCTGACATCATCCCTTGTTCCCCTTGGAGATTAACTCCACCCCCTCCCTCCTGGGCTAACACCAATACATACACTTTGATTGCTGGGATATGGGAGACCAGAGTTTAAGTCCCTGCCCTGCCGTTGACTTCCTGTGTGACCTTGGGCAAGTCCCCCAGTCTCTCTGTGCCTCAGTTTCCCATCTGTACAATGGTGATAACAGCCCTGCCTTAGCTCACAGGGGTGGGTAAAGATCAATGCAGTAAAGACTACCGTGGTAGAGAAGCACAATAGATGGATAGAGTGATGGGTGTGTATGGGGCTAGACTGATAAAGGCACTGAAATCTATCTAACAATATTAAAAATAAAAGTGGTCGAAAGATGCATTCAACTCCCAGCAAGATTGAAACCCAGTGCTGTTTCCCGAACTTCCTGAAGAGTCTGTCTCACTTCTGAAAGCCTGGCAGGGCGCGGGTGACTGGCGCAGATACCCTGCCTTTGCATTGTTTTGGGCTACGGCATATAATTGAAAGGAGCCGATATGTCTTATCTCCAGTCTGAGCTCCCTCTTGATGTACTTGCACATGATTAATGAGTAGCCAAAAAGCCTGAAGGGTTTGTAATGAAGCCTTTCTAATGGAGAAGTGTATTGTAGACAAATCCATATTGCTTCCCAAACAATCATTCATCAAAGCCGTGATTTGACTCTTTACAATTAAACATAGGAGCACCCGGATCAGCTGGAGATTAGCCAGCTGTAACCTGTGCTCCTCTCAGCTCCCCAGCAGCTACAGTCACTGTCGCTCCTTGCCAATGAATTCTCCTATTTCTTTTACTGCTGCTGTGTATTGTTAGTTACCTTTGATGACCTGACCTACTAATGACATCCCTGCGATTGCAGTGTATTATTAGCCACCTAGGCCTCCATTCAGCAAAGCCCTGACCTTTATTATGGGCTGGATTTTCAGAAGCACTCCACAATTGGAGGTAGATTGGATGTTCTGCCTTAGTGTTTTATACCGCCGACCGTCACCATAGTATCTGGGTGGAGAGGTCTTTGGAAAATCTGCCCACCAGTGTCACAATAGGTACAGCCAAAGGTTTCCATTGACTCCAATGGGCATTGGATCAGGACTTATAAGGGTTTTATAGCCTTTCCTGTTGCCCTTCTGTAGCATCACCTCTCAGCTGATCTCAAAGCATTTTGAACTGCTAGGACACCCTATCCTGTGCTCCCTAGGGGTACGCTCTACCTGCAGCATCCTTGCTGGGCAGTGCCATCTCTCTGCATACAGGAAGGGCAGCTGCGGGTGCTGTTTAGGGAACAGAGACATTCTTTTCTTTAAAAGTCTCTTTTATGGTCCCAAGGTAACAATTTCATTGTAAAGCATTAGATCAAATTGTGTCTAGACTTACGTTGGCTGTAGCACTGTTAAAGTCAATGGAAACAGGAAGGTGTACAAAATAGCGCCGGATTTAGCTCTGTTATTATGTTTACTTTGACGAGGACTCAAGGCCCCAATTCGGCAAAGCTCTTAAGCATATGCCTAAAGTACTTTGCTGAACGGGGGCCTAGGGCCCAATCCTGGTCCCTCTGCCCAGCCTGTGTAACCAGGCTGCACCGAGGGAAGAGGGCGCAGCTACATACTTGCTCTCTAAGGAGTATGGCCAGTTGGTCTCCAAAGCGTCTGATCTAATTAATACCTTTTTGGATGATGTGTTTTTGTGAGGTAGACAAGTGCCCCCTGGGGGCTGGACTGAGACCCACCACTTATTTCACACAGGCCACCAAAGAGCTAATGGGTGGCAATCATTTTTATCCCCTATCAGCACAGGCTGGACTGAAACCAGCACCCTAGTGGTGAAAGGCTCCAGAGTCCCCATACTCCATCACTAAAACCCTGGGACACCACAGACCAGTGGTTCAAAACCTCCTCTGCACTGGGTCATAACCCCGACACCTATGTATGACACCCCTGGGAATCATGCCCTCCAGGTGGAGAACTCATGCCCCTAAGGGAAATGTTATGACTTTAAAGAGTCCAGTGGTCATGTGTTAACTTCTAACGAGGTCACATTTTATTCTGAACCAGGGTTTAACAGCAAGCAACCTCAGAAGATTTCACTTGGGCCCCTCCATCTGAACACTCCTTGCTGACATAATCTGACGCACTTCTCTTCCCCCAGCGGAAAAATGGCCAAGGGGAAAGCAAAAGGCCCCAAAGGGAAAAAAGTCACCTTGAAAGTTGCCAAAAACTCCATCAAGATCACGTTTGATGGGAAACGCCGCCTTGACCTGAGCAAGATGGGCATCACCACCTTCCCCAAGTGCATCCTCAAGCTGGCTGACGTGGACGAGCTGGATCTGAGCAGGAACATGATCAAGAAAATCCCAGACTTCATCGAGAAGTTCCAAAACCTGCGCTGGCTGGACTTGCACAGCAACCAGATCGAGAAGCTGCCAGAGACGATCGGCATGCTCCAGAACCTCTTCTACCTCAACATCTGCAACAACAAGCTGACCACCAAGAGCCTGCCAGTGGAGCTGAGTCAGCTGAAGAACCTGCGCACCCTCAACCTGGGCTTGAACCAGATCGACAACCTACCCACCACTCTTGGGGCCCTGAAGGAGCTCCAGGATGTGGGCCTCTTTGACAACTACCTGACAACCATCCCCAACAGTGTGGCAAAGCTCCCCAAGCTCAAGAAGATGAACGTGAAGCGGAACCCCTTCCCCCAGCCAACAGAGGAGGAACTGTTAATTGACACCATCAAGCGCATCGAAGCCCTGTACTTGGTGGACGAGAAAGACCTGTGTGGCCCCTGTCTGAAGAAGTGCCAGGAGGAGAGGGACAAGCTGAACAAGCTGAAGAACGCGGTGCCCACCTCTCTGAGGAAGCCAAACTTTTCTTCCCTCATGACGCCCAACTCCACAGCAAAGGATAACCAAGCGGAGTGGCGATGAAGAGGCAGCTTCCACGGGTCACACAAAGGTGGCAGTGTCACACAGAGTCTGTCCATCCAACTCTTACAGCGTCCAGCCCAAACCAATAAACAGCTCTTCCCCTCACTGCAGTTCTCTTCATTTAAGGGTTTGCTCGGTGTTAGGTGGAGAGGACCTGCTGTTTCTCCTAAACCAGTGAATGGGCCCCAAAGCAACAGAAGTGCAGAAAAATAAAGGTGAAAGGGCATGCTTGGTTCCTGACTTTTATTTACCAGGAGACACCATGGGCCAGATCCTGACTCCTGTCCCACCTGCTTTGAGCTGCTCCAGCAGAATGAAGCAGGAACCAGCTGCCTGGGGATTTCCGCAGCGTAATTAAACCTCCAAGTGGCACAGGGATCCTGCAACCCTTCTTCCCCCACCCATCAGGGCCAGGAAACTGCTCCATCAAGCCTATCACCAACTGCCCTCAGTCCCCTGGAGGGCTGTGACTAGTTGGCATGACTTGGAGAACCCTAGGCCAGACAGGCATAAAGGTTGCTCAAAGTTTCCTTTATGGCCCTGAGCTGTATTGGGCAGAAGGACTGATCTCCAGGATCTGGCCCAATATCTACCAGTTTTGTACAAGATCATTGTGCATGGAGAAATCTTCCTAGCATCTTACTTCTTGAGAGTGCAGGCAAAGTTGGATTCTTTGTAGTCCCACTCCATCTATCTTCTGGGGGCAGGGACTTTGTAGGGCTGAGGGGAAAGCAGAGTGGGCAAGCCTATCATGTGAAAGTGTCACAAATCTTTCTCTTTAGGAACAATATAGGTGACAGTGTGCTGCACAAGACAGCCCCTTGGATCTTCCTGGGGACTTGGGCTGTGGAAAATCTCCCCAATGAATAGCACTTGGGTCCAGCAGGGATAAACCTCAGACCCTCCTGTTGCCATAGCACATGCCCCAAAAGCTACGTCTAAAGGAGAATCTTCATTAGCTGTTATCAGTACAGGGCCTATGACACAGTTTCAATTCTGTCCAGCAGAGGTCAGTACTGACACAGACACTAGTCAGATCATTACACTACCAGAAGTATTTTAGGTGTGAAACACAATGTATCATGATACACAATTCTGTCTCCTCGAGTGCAATCAAAGAGCCACATTCTTTGCTTAGACACACAAGCAGGTCCCACCGGCTTCAGTGTTGGATGCTGCATCCATGTATCAAGGAGTTGAAATATTTATCACAGACATCACAACTGGCCTCATTTCCCCTATGCCTGGCTTCCCCCTCCCCCATTCACTTCCAAGCTGTCACAGACTCACCTCCTCCCTGAGAGAGCGGGGCAGGAAATAACTCCCTTCTAGACCAAAGTGGCTTCTGGTCCTTTTTTAAGGTGCATTGTATAGGGCCCATAATCCAGATCCCTCTCTTGCTCTGGCAATCTAGGGGTGGCAGCAGGTGAATTTACAATCTCACTCCCAGTCCCAGTGTCCCCATGGTGTGTTTGTCTCTCTCTCTCTCTCTCTCTCACACACACACACACACACTCTTTCACCTCTGCACACAAATTCATTTGCATTCCTTGTTGCACCTTCAGGGCATACCCTGCAGACGGCAGGCCGACAGTGACATACAGGTGCATTAGACTAGTAGATTATCAAAGCAACTAAGCTAAGCACCGACCTTGGACAAGGTGCTGGCTGGGGCCACAGCAACATATGGGAGGTGGCAGAGAGTTAAACATATTTAAATGAAGAATAAAATGGTGTGCGTGTGTGCGGGGGTTGCTGCTCAGCAGTCTAGTAACAGCCCATTCTGGAGGGAGTAAATTGGGACTCCTAGGTTCTACTCCCAACTCTGGGAGTGTTGTCTAGTGGTTAAGAGCACTTGACTGGGATTGGGGACTCCTGGGCTCTATTCCCAGCTTCCCACTACTTTAATATGCTACATGAAACTGCACCTTTATGCCTCAGTTTCCCCAATTTAAAATGATTATTCCTTTCTCACAGGGTGTCGCAAAGTGTAATAATTTATAAAGCCCTGCAAGATTCCTAGGTGGAGAGGGCTGCATGAGTAGCAGGCGATACTGCTATCTGATGAGTGTTCATTACACTATCATGCAGGGGCTGGGAGGGAAAGTCTGGTCCCACTCCCCAGCTCTGCTGGGACAGCAAGGGCTGGGGATGCTGTAGAAGCAGCATGTCTATTCCCTGGGAGGGAGGACTTTGTGCTCCTCATGAGGGATCCCACCCTCTGACTCAGGAATGACACCAGCACGTGTGGAGATACAATGAACGCACAGAGTTCTTGGTCCTTCAGTTCCCAGAGCAGAACAGGTGATTATGTAGGCACTTACTAAAGAGAGGCATTTCCAGGTAGGAGGATGTTCTCTCTAATCCTTCACTTAAGCATGTGCAGTCTGGTGTCTCTCAGCTCACACTACAGCGTGGCCCAGAGAGAGCTGTGCCAGCCCTCCCCGAGCTTCTATCCCTGCTCCTCAGAGGGGACAATGTAGAAGAGGTCCTCTCCCCTCAAGGGGATAACATTCCAGGCAGATCCTTATGGGGACTAAAAACCCTTTGTGCTCAACTGTGCTTCCAAGATTCAGAACAGGCAGAATCAGGCTCCTTAAACCTCAGGAAAGATAAGGTCTAACACAAGTCATACCTCTCTCACCTACCCGTGAGCCCAACTCCAGCCCAAAGGTCATGAAGACGTGATCCAGGAGGGCTTAGAAAATTACAGATTGATGAGTGCTGGGTAAACATAGGATAAATCTATCCCTACGGCACCAGCCCTTGGGCTGTTTCACTCTGTCTAGAGATATCAGTCCCCCAGTACAGAGTGGAATGTGCTGCTCCACACTGACTCTAGGATCTTCTTTGGGTTTCTCAGAGACCCATATTAGTCCCAACAGGGCTCAGCCTGGGCCGGGACTGGTGGTACTTGTCTTAAGCTGCCTTCTCGCTCTGGAGTGTCAGCTTTCAAGTCCAAAAAAGTAACTCTGTAACTGTAAACCTAAAACCAGTGATCTGAGAGTAACCAATGGAGACACCTACGTGAGACTGACAAGGATGAGGGATGACTGCTCAGAGAGGCGCAACCTCTCTCATCTCAATGGGCTGCTGATGCTCGTGCCCCTTGGTGATCATTTACATCTCAACACTGTTAACTATTTGGGACCCCCCCAAAACTTAAGAGTTGTTCTCATGGCTCTGCACTAGCTTCCGGTTCCCTTTCAGGAATAGCTTTAGCCATTTGCTATGGTCTACAAAGCTCTGCATGGTCTGGGGCCCAGTGACCTGCATTAGAACCTGGGAAGAGGGCAAGCAGGAAGTAATGGAAGTGGCTCTTCCTGGGAGATTTCCAGCCCAAGCAATCTGGTGGGTTAAGAGAATCATCCAAACTTCTGAGTGTTTATCCGAATCAAAAGGAGCTGCCAACCCATGGGAGGGTCACCCACGGATACTGAAGATGCCAATTAGGAGCCTAAGGAAGTATTCCTTGGGCATCCAGCTCAAGAGAAGTTCTGGGTATGCAGGTATTCAGGATCAGCACAGAATACTCGCCCAGTCACGTCACTCTGTGCTTGGAAATAAACCCACTTGGCAAGGGGCAGCAAATAGGGATCTCTACTGTGAAGCTGTTATAGTTGGTTCTGCAGCATCACCGTGCACTAGGCACATCTGTCACTGTCTGCTCTAACTGCCCACTAAAGAGGCCATTATGCAGCAGCATTATGGATTAGCTCTCTAACCTCACGTCGTTGACTGTCTGTTCCCTATTCTTCCCCACACTAACCATCTACATAAGAGTTTACCAATAAAGTCATATTAAGAAGATAATCATTATTAATTAACTATGGATAACAGCTACTTAATGCATCCCTCATGCCTTTGTAATGAAGATATTTTACAGCCGAATGCTTTGGGGAGATTTTGGGATGCCTCTGAACACTCAAAATAGGTTTTAAAGGGAACAAAAAATGTCGATTTATAGTGTCCTTTGTTAAAGTAGAACAAAAATTACATTTATTGCAGACAACTATCAGAAAATTGGGAATGATTCCGGCTTATTACCTTATATTCAGGGACTCTTCAGTTATTCCTTTTGCCTTCAAAACAGGTTGCAACGAACAAAATCTAAACAGAGAGGAGAAAATAAATCAACATGGTCTTTAAAAGGGTTATTACCTGTAATAATCACTGAGGTTTAATCCTGAATGATGCCAAAGCACTTTACAAACTGAGACCCCTTAGATTCAGGACAGCACTTCAAATCAATGGGACATCTGCTATGTTTAAAGTTAAGTAGGTGCTTACATGCTGTCCTGGATAGGGATGGTCTTCAGCTTAAGTGCTTCCTGAATCGTAGCCTTGAACTGATATTCAGTCAACAAAGATAAGAAGCACTTCATCCATCACTAAAATGCAGCTGCTTCTGGGGTAGAATCTGGCTGCCGGTTAATTGCCAATGGCTATACTATGCAGCATTTTAGAGCAGGTTTCCCTATCTAACTGAAACAGCAAGGTAAATTTAGATAGGAAGAATGGTTCAGAACCTGCAGTTGTTATTTAGGCAAGGTTCCATTGGGCCTATGCATAGATTTTAAGGCCAGAAGGGATCATTATGATCGGCTAGATTAAATGATCATAATGATCAATCTAGGCCACAGAATTTCACCTGGGAATTTCTGCATCATGAGTGTTTTGCCTTGGTAAGGACAGCCAAATTATACCCAATGTTATTACCAGAGTTGCAGTTTTGCCTGGCCATTGTGGTTAAATTAAAGTGGCTGATAGAAAGCAATGTGCAAATCATCCACTTTATACTCTAACGTCAGCAAGGGAAAACGCCACCAGGACAAGGCAGCTATAAAAGAAAAGCCTTCTCTCCTAGACAAAAGTGCCACTGTTTAAAAAGTCATGTCAGCTCTATTTATGCCAAAGATTTAAAGTAAAGGCCAGAGAACCAAACTCATCTTATGTACCTAATGCTAAAAAATCATAAGCAATGCTCCAAAAAAATTACAGCTCAGCAAGGGGAAAATGACATTGGCCAGGAGAAATTATGTTTTTCTTGCTTAAGTGGAACCATCCAAAGACCCAGGAGCTGCAATTTTAGAGTGAGCCCTTAGGGTCGCTGTTTGGGAGACACATGTGAATGGAGGGGAATGGTGCCACAAGCGTAAAACAATACCAGCTGCTGGGA